TCTCTCTCTCATGTTCTCTCTCGTGTTCCCTCTATGACACGATCTTGATGTATCCCGAGCTTTGCTATTGTAGTTGGATCTTATGATATTTCTCCCCCTCTACTCTCTTGTGATGAATTGAGTTTCCCCTTTGAAGTTATCTTATCGGATTGAGTCTTTTATGAGAACACTTGATGTATGTCTTGTCGTGCTTATCTGTGGTGACAATGGGATATCATGTGCCACTTGATGTATGTTTTGGTGACTAACTTGCGGGTTCCATCCATGAACCTATGCATAGGGGTTGGCACACGTTCTTGACTCTCCGATAGAAACTTTGGGGCACTCTTTGAAGTACTTTGTGTTGGTTGGATGAATCTGAGATTGTGTGATGCATATCGTATAATCATGCCCACGGATACTTGAGGTGACAATGGAGTATCTAGGTGACATTAGGGTTTTGGTTGATTTGTGTCTTAAGGTGTTATTCTAGTACAAACTCTTATAGATCGATCCGAAAGAATAACTTTGAGGTGGTTTTGTACCCTACCATAATCTCTACGTTTGTTCTCCGCTATTAGTGGCTTTGGAGTGACTCTTTGTTGCATGTTGAGGGATTGTTATATGATCTATCTATGTTATTATTGTTGAGAGAACTTGCACTAGTGAAAGTATGAACCCTATGTCTTGTTTCCTATCATTGCAATATCGTTTACGCTCACGTTTACCTCTTGTTACCTTGCTGTTTTTATAATTTCAGATTACAGATACCTTTATCTACTATCTATTTTGCACTTTTATCTTCATCTCTTCGCCGAACTAGTGCACCTATACAATTTACCATTGTATTGGGTGTGTTGGGGACACAAGAGACTCTTTGTTATTTGGTTGCAGGGTTGCTTGAGAGAGACCATCTTCATCCTACGCCTCCTACGGATTGATAAACCTTAGGTCATCCACTTGAGGGAAATTTGCTACTGTCCTACAAACATGTGCACTTGCAGGCCCAACAACGTCTACAAGAAGAAGGTTGTGTAGTAGACATCAAGGGCCAAGAATGTAGTTTTGTTTTCGGCACGAAGGGCTTTGTCCGGATCGCTCGAAATTGTGATGATTCCATTAGGTCCGGGCATTCTGAGCTTCATATACCCATAATGGGGTATAGCTTGGAAGCGTGAGAAAGCGTCCCGACCGAGGATGGCGTGATACCCACTATTCAATGGGACCACATGAAAGAGCAATTCTTCGGATCTATATTTATCGGGCGTGCCGAATACTACATCCAGTTTAATTTTCCCAGAGCATCGTGCTTCTCTACTAGGGATAATGCCTTGAAAGGTGGTATTGCTTTGCTCAATGCACGATCTGTCCATCTACATTTTATCGAGCGTGTCCTCATAGATGAGGTTAAGCCCACTGCCGCCGTCCATGAGCACTTTACTAAGCCGAAAACCATCCACAATGGGGTTTAGTACTAGGGCAGCAGGTGCTCGGACCGACCGAACCTTCGGTTCGTCTTCGGCCGTAAAGGTTATTGCCGTGTCATTCCATGGACTCAGTGCGATAACTTGGTGGACTTCGGCGAGGTCGCGGAGCGCCTGTTTGCGCCGATTATTCGAAGAAAAGGTCTTGAAGACAGTGAGGACGCTAAAGTTGTCCCTCTCTGGAGAGTATTTCTTTGGAGTTGAGGTGAGGATGGCCTCTCTGCTTTTAGCTACTTGTCGGAGTACCCAGCATGTTTGAAGGCTATAGGTTGGGACTGTGAGCGGAGTGGCGTGTATCGGGCAGGGCTTGTCCAGCAGTTCGTCAAGAACGGACCTGTGTCCTGTGAAGGGTTTATTTTTCCTGCCCATAGACTGGTGGTTGGGTGACCCGTCAGGATGTATCCGTTTAGTCCGGGCCGCACACTGATTAAAAGCAGCAGGCTCTAGATGAGTTTTTTGGGAATTCCATGTGCTTTCCATCGCACAGTACTTTTGCACTACTTGTGATAGTTTCGTAAAGCTCTGTATGTGGCGACGATCAAGGGCGTTCAATATTCCCTCATCGGTGCAGTTACGATGAAAGACCGAAACTACGTCATCGTCCGGGCAGTCTTTGATCCTGTTTTTAACAAGCAGGAATCTGGCCCAAAAGTGGTGGAACGTTTCCTGAGGCTGCTGCCGCAGATACATCAGGTTGTATATATATGGAGGACCTAAGTTGCTTGGAGAATATAGATTGTGGTGGGTGGGTGGCTTAAATTTTAGATCCACTCCCACATCTGTGTTCGGAGCTTGAAAGGTCTCTGAGGCGACAGGTTCAGGTCCGGGGAGGCACAAGGGCTCCTGCAATCCTATGCTTGAGCCAAGGTCTGGAGGGTGCGAGGTCCCGTCCGAAGGGGGAGTGTCTGGTTCAGGGGATTCAGAGACCCGAACATACTTGGTCTTCAATATAGGGAGGGAAGTGTCTTCGGCCGGTTCCTCAACGACTGCTACATGGTGGGTGATTGGCGGGTGATTAATTTCCCTCTGGTCGGGCTTGAGCCCGATCCGATCATAGTCGGTTGAGACCCCCAGGGCGGCGATGCGGTCCAACAGTTCGTTTAAAGATGAAACATCAGCCGGATCCAACTTTTTGGAGTACTTGGGGCCGACGCAAAGACGGTGGCCGGCGGCTGTAAGGGGTGTTGCAGGCTCGATGGCTGCGCAAGCTCCTACGGTGAAATCGCCGAACCGGAGGTTCTGCCCAAAAGCCAGGCACCTTCCAGAAGTGATATTGTTGTTGATGACTAGGCGAGCCATAGATCGCTTTTGTAGATAGCACGGCAGGGCCCTCAATGAAAGCACCGATGTCGGTGTCAAAACCGGCAGATCTTGCGTAGGGGGCCCAAGCTGTGCGTCTAAGGATCAATGGTAACAGGGGACCAGGGGACACAGTGTTTACCCAGGTTCGGGCCCTCTTAAAGGAGGTAAAACCCTACTCCTGCTTGATTATATTTGACGAGTATGAAGATCACGAGAGTTGATTTACCTCAAGATCGTAATGGCTAAACCATAGATGTCTAGCCTATGAGTATTCCAATGACGATAATGAAGATAGCCTCTACGGACTAACCCCTCCAGTTTATATACACACCGGAGGGGCCTAGGGTTTGTACAAGGTCGGTTTATCAGGGAAGGAAACATCCAAACTCTAATCTTGCCATTTATGTGTGGAGAAGTCCCATACAGACACAGAGGATAATCTTCAGCTTGATCTTGTATGACCCATCCAACCCGGCCCATACTCCTAGGCCGGATACCTGAGGACCCTCGAATCCAGGACTCCCTCAGGCGACGTAGTAGCAGGCTGGTTGGGGCAACAACGGGAAGACCTCGGGACGGTGGTGTGGACTGCGGTGCTATGACCTGAAGGGGCGGCGCAGCGGCGGAGCGCCGGTCGGTGCAGCCATGGGAACGACCTCGGGCGATGGCGTGGACCCCGTGCCACGGCCTTACAACCTGAAGGGGTGGTGTAGTGGTGGCGCAGCGGCAAAGTGCATGTCGGTGCAACCATCGGAACGGCCTCGGGCGGCGGCAGGACCGCGTGCCGTGGCCTTACAGCCTGAAGGGGTGGTGTAGAGGCGGCTCGTGGATCAGGGTGGACGCCGTGAGAACTATTTTCCGGTGGCGACGACTTGACGGGCGGCGGCAAAGGTAGCCATCGGGAGGATCGTGAGGCGGTGGCGTGAACCGTGTGTCGCAGTGCGATGCCCCGAAGGGGCATCAGCGGGAGCAACGTGCGGGCAGGGCAGCCGGCGGGATGACCTCGGGGAGGCGACACAACGATCCAAAGGGACGACATGACGACTACCTGTGGCTCGATCGGTGGTAGGCACGTGCTCGGGGACGACTTGGTGGAGACAGGCGCGTGATCGGTTGATCAGACCAACGACGACAATGTACGCGCCATGGCGGGGACGACACGCAAATCAGAGTCGATGGCGAAGTTGTCGGTGATGTCTCGGGCGATGACGATGAAGACGGACCGGCAATGGAGACAACACGGACGAGCGGCCTGCATCGACGCACGAAGGCGTCCCTTGGGCGGCGCGTCTAGTCTTGCCGCGCGGTTAATGACGAAGTGGCCGGTGTAGTCGACGTCAATGTCAGAGTAGAGGCGCGGGGGTCGACGGCGGTGGCATGCTATGCAAACCGATCTTTGATCGAAAAACCAAAAGTAAATGCCGACCAAAGCGACCAGCGAGAAAGAGAAAACCCGGATCAAAGGATCGGGAAAAAGATTCTCTAGGGCAGCCGATCGACACGACTAGCGGACAAACCCTAGGTACAGACGACGCGGCCCCCGACGACGTTCATGGAGGCCGACCGCCCTGGGGGCGGCGCGCGGCGGCGGCTAAGATTAGAGTGGTTAGGCTAATACCATGTTAGAAGGATAGAGAAGGATTGGTTGAGTCGTTGTTTATTGTTTGAGCCACGTGTGCATATATATAGGAGTATAATGACCAACTTGAAGTACAAAACAAGGCAGGAACAAATCCTAATCTATCTTATACTCGTAATAATCATAATATTCAACACTCCAAAAATGTTATTTCATCATGAAATTTTGCACGCGGGTCAAATATTCATCGTAAAAAGAATTCAAAATATTTGACTTTTTCAACTATTGTTTTAAATTTTATTGTTCATCCGAGTGCATGTGAGCTCGGAATTAGAAGAGCTCTTTCGAAAAAAGAAAACCCTAGCGGGGAAGCAAACGTAACGTGATAAAACGTGAGCACAAGCAAGTAAGCAACCGGTGGCCTTGCCAAGTGTGAAGCCGGCGCCAACCTTACTGACAGGTGGGGCCCACGTCCGCGGTCCTCACACTGACAAGGCGGCCCCGCGCACCGTTCGTTGGCTTCTCGTTAAGCTAAACTACTAGTCGGCGAGAAGAAGGAATCGGAGTAGACGCAAGCCCACGCCAATCCCCGAACCCAATCGGAGCGACGAGAGGAACAAACCGGCCGACGAGAGGAAGGAAGGCCCGCCGCAGCGATGCAGACGCAGAGGTCACCGGCGATGGTGGGGGGAGGGCCCGGGTCGGCGGTCGGGTCGCCATCCCCGGCGACGGTGCCGGTGAGGCGGCGCTGCGAGGGCACGGCCATGGGGGCCGTCACCCTCGACCTCCGTCCCGGCCTCGGCGTCGGCCCCTTCACCCTCGGTGAGTTTCCCCCCAACAACCCTAGCGAACCAACCGCCCGCCGTCGCCGCGTCGGTTGGGATCCGATTTCCGAACCCATCGGTTTTTTCCTTTCGCTCCGCACGCGACAATGGAAGAGAAACCTGCGTTTTAAGCAACCGCTTAGCTGAAAGTTTCGATTTTTTTTGCCAATTCTGACACAAGAGCTCGGGGATGGTCGGTGCAGGGATGCCGATTTCCGATGCATTTGCGCAGATTGAACACCAGCCAAACATTTACGATGTTGTCCACGTGAAGTACTTCGACGAGGTTTGTGATGGGCAGCCCTTGTTTGGTGTTACCAGAGCCACCAAATTAATCTTAACTGATTGGTGTGGTTCATTCTGTGATTCCAGGAGCCTCTAAAGTTGGACTTCGTCATAAGCTTTCCAGATCACGGGTTTCACTTACGCTTCGATCCTTGGTCGCAGGTTTGTTTCAGTCATATGCTTGGGTTTTCCTTGATACTCTGGCTGCATTGTAGACACCGTTGATCTCACTTGTACTGAATTCATGTATACAGTAGCATTTGTTTGTTGGTATTGAATACTGTACTGAAATGTTTATATAACCAAAATTATAGTGGTTCTATGCTTCGTTGAAAATAGAAAGTGTAATGCAGACCCATCAGTAGTTTAGTGCTGTAGTTATTTGAATTCTGCAGCAAAATTTACTTAAAGAATATGGTATAAAAACGTGTACATACTTTGCATTTGAGATTTGTGAAAAAAAAAATCACTATTGATCAGAAAATCTTGTTCTTTTATTTTTCCCCTGCAGAGGCTCCGCCTCATCGAGATTTTTGATGTTAAGAGACTGCAATTGCGTTACGCGACGTCTTTAATTGGGTGAGGAGCTTCTACGCGTTCCCTCTTTTCTGATTAGTCTATTTTCAAGAACCCTTGGGTCGAGCAAAGCTAATATGTGGCATGGTCACTCATTTTTTGCCCTAACCGTTCAGCAAAAGGTTTGGTGCTGTGTTACTGACGATTTCCTTCTCCCTTCTATTATTTCAGCGGCCCATCGACACTAGCCACTTTTGTATCTGTTTATGCTCTATTCGGACCGACTTTCCCTGGGATATATGATAAAGAGAGGGGCATGTATACCCTCTTCTATCCAGTATGTCATGAAAATAGCCCTTGCTTTGTATTATTTCTTTCAAGATTTTGTTCCATGTTCCATTTCCTGGTCTGTTTGGGTTTATCTTACTCAGAAGATTTTGCAGGGTTTATCATTCGCATTCCCTATCCCCAGTCAATATACAAGTTTCTTCAACAATGGGGAAGGTATGTTGCTAAATGGTCACATTCATTTCTGCATAACTATCATTCGCAGCATTTCTTCTCAGCTTCTAATTGCACTTGCAGTGGCAGATTTGCCCCTGGAATTTCCTGATGGAACAACTCCGGTTACGTGCCGTGTTTCTATATATGATAGCTCAACAGATAGCAAAGTTGGTGTTGGCTCATTGATGGATAAGGCAGTTGTTCCTGCCTTACCTGCGGGCAGCCTATATATGGAGGAAGTACATGCAAAGGTACATTATCTATTTATTGATGATATTTCCAGCCTATTAATCCTGTGAAATCTGCAGATATTTTCCTGTTTCATGATTCACATGATCTGGTTTTACAACTGCACACCACCACCACCACAACAACAACAACAAAGCCTCAAGTCCCAAACAAGTTGGGATAGGCTAGAGCTGAAACCCATAAAATCTCGCAACCAACTCATGGTTCTGGCATATGGATAGCTAGCTTCCATGGCTAGTTCTTTGGTGATACTCCACTCCTTCAGATCTCTCTTTACGGACTCCTCCCATGTCAAGTTCGGTCTACCCCGACCTCTCTTAACATTATCAGCACGCTTTAACCGTCGGCTATGCACTGGAGCTTCTGGAGGCCTGCGTTGAATATGCCCAAACCATCTCAAACGATGTTGGACAAGCTTCTCTTCAATCGGTGCTACCCCAACACTATCCCATATATCATCGTTCCGGACCCGGTCCTTCCTTGCGTGGCCACACATCCAACTCAACATGCGCATCTCCGCTACACCTAATTGTTGAACATGTCGCCTTATAGTTGGCCACACTCAGCGCCATACAACATTGCGGGTCGAATCGCCGTCCTATGGAACCTGCCTTTTAGCTTTTGTGGCACCCTCTTGTCACAGAGAACGCCAGAAGCTTGGCGCCACTTCATCCATCCGGCTTTGATTCGATGGTTCACATCTTCATCGTTATCTCCATCCTTCTGCAGCAAAATGTTTTTGAGCAAGTATATACACCAAAAGAACGTAAATGCAGAATTGTAGGCTGAACAGCTGGTAGTGTATGTGTCATGCATCATTGTTACTGTCTTTCGTGCGTAGGATAAAATATATATGTGACTGAATAAGCTCTCGACATAACATCACTGGAGCAAGCCTTTTTTAAAGCTTTATCTTGTTTTCAGCTTGGTGAAGAGCTTTGGCTCACTACTGGGGGGCAGCATATTCCTTTCGGAGCATCGCCCCAGGTGTAAATCATTGTACCATCTGCTCTCTTTTCTGAAGCATGCTTTAATGGTTTCTTACATGATGCGGTATCTTTGGCAGGATATCTGGACCGAATTGGGTCGTCCATGTGGTATCCACCAAAAGCAGGTGTGCTTGTATTTTTTTTTACTGAAGCACTGCGATATGGATTTTCATAGAGATTGTGGCAAGTTAATCTTTCAATTGTTACTAATAACATGTGCTAGATTACTAGAATGCATACTTGCCAGTTTATTCTTTGGAAACATGTATCTCTACCTCCATATTTTATCCTATACTGAACTGGTGACGATAATCAGGATGTCACTTCTAGTTAATATTCTGGGCATATTAGAAAAGCCAGAGTTATCTGTTATTTCAAAGACCAGTAAACAATAAATGATTCCATGTACTCATGCAATTCGACATATGGTCAAAAAGATCCGAGGACATCTCAGTCTCATACTGAACTAGGTGTTAGGTGCTGTTGCAACATGTGAGTGTTGGTAGAATAAAATGTGGAAATTTGATGGAATAACCCAAAAAATATGCTTGGAACATGTGAAATGTCATAGTTCGACAAGGATTTTTCTGGCACTTGCAGATTGCTTTGGGAGGTTTGAGTGCTACTTGCAAAACAATGTTGCGTCAGATGCAGTTTAAAGATAAAGCAGCCAAAGCCCAAAAAGCTGTTTCACCTTTCGCTTTCTGATTTTTAGATTTATATTTTATATCCAGAACCATTATTTTACCTCTTGATACATTACAACTCTTCTGTAATATATGCTCTCCCTTTTTTGTTATTGAAAGAATAATATAAGGAAAGACCAAAATCCTAAGCACTCTCAATACTGCATTCTCATCTTTAACGATTAGCACATCGTGCTCTCATGTTAGGTGGACCAAATGGTTATACACTCCGCATCCGATCTCCGTCCTCGGACTACTCTTTGTGGAGACTACTTCTACAACTACTTCTCGCGTGGTATAGATATCTTATTTGATGGTCAGGTATGGAGTTTTTTGTATAGTAGGTGTGCCTGCACACTTAAAGGTAACAACATTTCTTTTGCGAGGTTCAACCAGCATGTTGACCAGTAGATTTTGTTTCATTGCAGACACACAAGATAAAGAAGTTTGTTTTACATACAAACTTCCCTGGTCATTCTGATTTCAATTCATACATGAAATGCAACTTTGTTATCTATGACGCTGAAGGTACGAACTGCTCGCTACAGTCAGTTTGCTGCTGATATTCAGTACAAATTAACTATTGGCTTTGTTTCAGCTGAAGGGGCACAGCAGCCGGGTAACACTTCCAAGAATTGCATAACACCTCGAACAAAATGGGAACAAGTCAAGGTATGGTGTTTACCACGAGTTTATGCTGCAATGATTCCCATATAGATTTATAAGTTAACCTATAACTATCAGCTTTGCTTTGAGTTGTCATTTCATTACTAAACCTTTTGTGCTCCCTCTGCGACAACTTGTTTTTCCTAGATTTATTTATGAGATATCTTGATCTTTTAATGGTTGAATGGCTGCCTTTGTGAAAAGTTGGTGGATGTTACTAATGCTTCTTTGGCCCTTGTAAAGAAATTGTTTCTTTGATCGGCATATAAATAAAAGTAAAATCAGATCGTGGGTAAATGCTCCCATGCTAAAACAACATCAGTTCTTTTACTTTGCCAAAGCAGCTCAACATGCTGTGTTAGAGCTTTATTCTTAGTTGCAGTTATGTAGCAATTGTTTGAGCAGTAACGCTGTTTCTTGGTAATGGCCATTTTTTTTTCTTTTGATTTCCCATGCTTATTTGCTAACTGACTAATGTCTGTTGATTCTACCGTATTAGGAGATCCTTGGTGACTGCGGTCGAGCAGCAATCCAGACGCAGGGCTCGATGAATAACCCATTTGGATCAACTTTCGTCTATGGATACCAAAATATTGCTTTTGAGGTGGGCTACCTATCACTCGGCTTCAGAAACCTTCTTTTCCTGCGCGAACTGTGTCATCAGTTTGTTTGTTATCACTCTGATCTGACATTGGCAACTCTTCCGTTCCCATTGACCAACAGGTGATGAAAAACGGATATATCGCCACCGTTACTCTCTTCCAGTCATGAGTAGCATATAGTCGCACCCGCACCCGCACCTGATGTACGCGGCATGCAAAGTCTGTGAAGCATGCCCCTTGTTTACGTTGTAAATTAACCTGTATATCCCACTCATTGTACAGGAACTGCGTTCCTCGGGTCTCTCTGTAAATATCATTCCATCACTATTGTTCTATCAACTAATTAATCATGATGTTGGCGTGATTCCGTATCACCCTGAACACAACCTTGTACAGGGCTTCTTTGGCTGTCAGGATACCTTGATCAATAATTCCGTGCAAAATCAAACTCCCTCCATTCTCAGTCGGCAAAAGGGAACAGAAATGTTAAAATCTGACACCTGGGTTGGCAAATTATATTGTTGTGAGTATGACAATTTTCTTAAGCAAACACGGCAAATCCAAGAATGAAAATGCTTAAAAAAGAAGACTATTTGCCAACTCGGGCGTTAGATTTGCCATGCTTAAATATTTGACGTTAAAATTAGGGATTGTTTGGTTCTAGGCCTTCAATACCACACTTTGCCACATTTTTTTATCAAGTTTGCCTACGGCTTAAACCAAACCCTCCTAAAATGGTGAGACTTGCCTAACCTTAGGTGTCAACCTTAAGCACAAACCAAACACCTTTATAGCGAAATTTTCAAGAACAAAAATATTAGAAAAGGAAACTATTTTTTGGTAGTGCAACCAAGTGACCTAAATGTGTATGCTACTCCCTTCAGATGGGTAGTACATAGGGTGTGCGCGTTTTTTAGGTCGCTGATTTTGACTAATTAAATACTACTCCCTCTGTCTCAAAATATAAGAACGTTTTTAACATTGCACTAGTGTCAAAAATATTTTTATATTATGGGACCGAGGGAGTATATGTTATATGCCACCAAAACTATATGTTTAGAAACTTTGCTTGAATATGAATATAATGATGTGCTTTTTATGCCAGCATACGGATGGTACATGATACGAGTACATATTTAGAAACTTTGTTTGAATACGAATGCTATATGATACATGTACCCGGCACACCTGACCGACTGAGTTTGATGAAAAAATATCAACATTTAAAGTACCAAATACTATCTCCGTAACAAAATGTAAGACCTTTTTATGGCCTATATGCAGAATAATTTTTTTGGTCAAACAGATCTATTTTTTTGAACTGTGGTCAAACAGACTTGGGATAGAAGCAATATGTAAAGGGAGTATCTGAAAAGGAGGGAGTGCTCCAAATTCTTGATAAGACTGCATTCTGGCGACTGCACAAAACGAAATCCAAAACCAAACACAAGAAGCTCCGACTGAATAAACGCCAGAGGCGGCGGCACCAGGAAAGCGAAGCCCTCTCCCTCTACAGTCTCTCCACGCGGGGCACAGATCACCACTCGCCGCCGCCGCACATCCACACCGGCGGATATGGAGCGCGCCGGTGCCGGCGCCGCGCCGGGGGTCCCTGCGGCAGGGGAGGGCGCGGCGGCGGCGGCGGCAGCGGCAGCGCCGACTCCGGTGGCAGGGGCAGGGGTGGTGAAGGGGAGGTCTTGCAAGGGCTGCCTCTTCTACTCTTCGGTGCTCAGGTCCAAAGGGCGCGGCCCCGTCTGCGTCGGCGTCACCCGCGGCATCCCCCAAGGTCGAAAATCGCGCCCGCACCACCCTCGCCCTCTCCTCTTCTCTTACCCTCGATTGCCTGCTGCTTTGCTTTAGGATCTCTAGTGGGCTAGGGTTCCCCTGTTCCTAGTTAAGCCATTAGTCATGTAATCTGTGCCCCCTGAGCTTTCGCTGGGCTCCCTGTTCTGCGCAAGATTTCGTTTTTTTGCGGTGATGCACACACGCACCAACCATGGGGATGCATAGGGATTACGGCTCCTGTGTTGTTTGCAAACAGGGATACCCATTCCCACACACCAGGAAGGAAGCACCTTGATTGCAACTCATGTCTTCAGGAGAATTCGACAAAATTGCAATGTTCACATCATAGGTTTATCTGGAAACTAAGCTGTATTGTCGCACCGGGTTTCCCCATTCCGTTAGTTGCTTAACAGAGGCAAACAAAGTTCGCAACCGTACAATGGGAAAACATGGAAAGGGAGACATGCTCGGCATGCCTGAGGAAAACCCACTGCCCGCCCCTCCTCCCAGAAGAAGACAATTGGACGAACACAAATCCTAGCACCATCCTGACAAACATTCAAAGTTATTACATCCCATACTGACGCATAACATTGGTGCCACAAAAGAATTCTACCAATCAATCTAGTAGGCTATCGATCATACAGATCCCAGGAAGCTTGCTGTAAAATTATTCTCTACTACTGCCATTGACTGTTAGTACCTGGACCTGTGGGAAGGATAAGCGCCTGGGTTTGTTTGTTGACTCTTCAGAGCAGGACAAGAAAGTCACTGCATTTATGTCCTTACGTATCAGATTCTGGATTTTCTGTTGAGTTTATACGTGCCTGATGTTCTGGGAACCACACAAGGACAATTGAGTGCATGGGATTAGGTCTCCATTATGTGACTGCAAAGATGACTAGGAGCAGATACTTTATTCAGTTTCATTGAAACATAGTATTAGGTCAGGGCATCGATTCCATTTATATCCAGAATGTTGTTGATCAACCTAGGTTCACCAATAAACTCTTGTATTTTATTAGTACTCTGTACCGATGATCAGTTGAATATGCTAAATCAGTAAAAAAAAATATGATCCATTCTATAACTTTGAGATTATCTCTCATGACAATCTCTGCAGAACAGCAGAAGTACCGCTTCATATCATGAATGTTTGTACACTGGATTTATCGTCTCACCAGTCACCATAGCAGTAATAATAGCTGACTTAATATCCTGACTTGTTTTTATCTGATTTTTGTAATTCTTAACTGTTGGGTTGACTTGTTTTATCCTATCTTGGTTTTTGTTGAACTTGCTACGGATACCAGTTCCTGATCGTATGGTTGGAGAAATTGAGCTGGGAGCTATCCAAGAAGGACGCAACCTTTCCAACTTCAAATATGCATGTGCTGGATATTCCATATACCTAGATGACAAGGATAGCTCTACAGTGAAGGGAGAGAAGCATGCAGAGCTCCCTATCTGTGTCGGAGTTGAGGTATTTCTTCTTCTTCTTAAGCATTTATTGCTCTGCAATTATGCTTAACATGTCAGCTCACACATAAGCAGTATGTCAGTGTGACTTAATGTGCATGGGAATTATGCTGTCTGTTTATGGTTTATACTGTATAGGTCGTCTTAGTATAGCAGGCATAGTCTATGACAGTTTATTTTTTTTTATAAAAGAAGCAATTTAGCGTGCAAGCCTAGTTCTGTATTATGTATATGGAAAAAATGTCTGGCGTGTTCATGGTAATCCATATTACCTTTTATTTGTTTACAATGATGAATTGATGCCACTTCCCTTCTTTTCTCAATCACAGTAGGATTGAATGCTGGCCATGCCATAACAGTAAACATATATTATTGATCTTTTCCCTAATATGTTTATTATTATTACTGAAACTGCTTGGCCAGTATCTTACTGTAAGTGTATGTCAAAGGATAAATTATTATGTGTAAGCAAGAAGTGCTTTTCTTTTTTGCTTTTTCTGCAGCTATTGACAGACAGAGCTCCAACTAAACAAGCTCCAGCTCACATGACTAAACAAGCTCCAGCTCACATGAAAAAAGAAGGTAAGGAAAATATTTATTTTATTGCCTGAGAAGTATGTAACTGTATAAAATAATACTACAATAGCAACTGCAAAGCCTACCACGCTATGCTAGATCACTGCCAGAGGTGCTTAGCATGTCACACTTTTCTTCAGTAGCCCCTGTACTGCAGATTCTCTGTAGAATGTAATGAACGGTCTCACCTGTTACTTATAGCCTCCCTGTTAATGAAAATGAGTGGATATGCTAATGTTGCATCATTGGTTATTGCATGATTCAAAGCCGCCAAATCTTATGCGTAAAGTTAATTTTACCACAGTAGACAGACAATACAGAAAATGTTCCCTAAAACAGAATATCAGAAAAGGTACTTTAATTAACTCCGCGGTGATTGGAGGAACTGGATCCTGAAGTAGTCTGCATTCTGAGTCAAACAATCTTGGAGCTCGTCTATATCTCAGTGTGCCTGAAACTAAACTTATTTTACCTTGGTTAATAAGACTTGCTCTTCATGAGAAACATGTGATGATTAACATTGGATCTAGAAAATTTCACTCATCTTGATAACATCGCAGCTACTCAAGCACATGGACACAAACCTGCGCTGACACAAGCCGATTTCATAACCAAGTATGTTGCTCTTTTGGTTTAAACTCTAATTGAGTCCATGGATTTGCATCGAATTTTAACAAACGGCGAATTTTCAACTGAACCTGCAGATTTCAGAGGAATGCTGGACTTGTGGCCAGCGGTGTGGTTAGGAACATGAATAAAGTTGGGACTTACGTCAAAGACACGGTGGATGACATCCTGTACCCGTACCGCAAGCGTCCCAAGTAAAACCTAGCATTTGTTCTCTCAAGTCCTGGAGTAGAATAGAGAAAAACGTGGGGGCATGTAATCTATTACTTCCGGCGTAGGAGTAGCCTCGCTTGGTTTCTGAGGCTCTGGCTGGGATTTCACCGTTTGCCAGCTCATGCCTAACGCTAACGGGCTGTTGTATGCCTGTTTCGATTCGTATCATGTTTCTTTGGTAGAGCCTCTCCGCTCCCCAACTTGCAATGCGGTCTTCATTCTGCTGGTTCCTCCAGCAAAGTGTAGGATGCAATGTAACAAAACTATAAAAGAGCTCATCTTTTGCATATTTGAGGCTATCCTTTGGAGAATAATAAAGTAATAATTGGCCGCCATTTTGGCTTCCTTTGCTGGATTTATTTGGATTCATGGCAGTGTCTTGGTATTACTAAAGAAATCTTATTTTCAGTAGTCAGAAAAACTGTCATGCCGGCTGTTCATTTGATTGGGCTGAAACTGTCTTTTCCTTTTCATTTATTTATATATGCTGAAGCATCCAAATGGCGCAATCGCCTCTTATACCTCTTCATATCCTCAATAATTATTTACTACATTCGTGTGAGCCATTCGTAGAGCTCATCAATTTTGGGTACAAGTATACATAAGTTAAACCACAACAATATCTGCGTGTGTGTAGCAGAATGGACAATGTAGATCAGATCATCTCCGGTCAGTGGAGACTTCAGCTCCGCTGCAGTGTCGCCGCGGCCCCGGGCTTCTCCCAGACGGCGTAGTCGTTGCCGTGTGCCGAGGTCACGAACCCTGCCGGGATCACCGCCCCGACGTCGTACCTGGACCCGATCTTCACCACCACCTTGCCGTCGATCTCGGCGACGTAGGCGTCCCCTTCGTGCATGAGGATCTTGAGTGCACTCGTCGCCGTGATGCCGTTGCGCTTCCTGATCGCCACCAGCGCCGCGATCTCGTCCTTGAACCCCCAGGTGAAGAAATGGTCGTAGAACTACAAATCATCGAGACAAACAGTTGAAGAAATGTGTGCAAGAGTGACAGTTGAGTGAGAGTGAACTCTGGAGCTGGCTCATCTGCTTACGATGCATGGGATGCCGGGGTGGGTGAGGATGTACGCGTAGCCCTGCATGACCTTGTCGGAGGGGAATGGCCACATGGCCTGCGTGGAGCCCGTGTCGTGGTTGTCGACGAAGGTGACGGCCTTGGCCGGCCACCACCCCATCACGCCGGGGGCCTTCCCCTGTGGGTCGATCAGCCGCCACAGCTCGCCCTCCACCGCGGCGTTCAGAATCCCTTTGGTCGTGAAGTCGAACACCATGCCGGCCGAGGCCGCGCCGCCCACCTTGTCCACCCAGTTCACCAGATTCTGCCGGTGCGCGTCCTGGTCGTAGTTAGGCTTGCCGTCGCCGCCGCTGGCCATGTTGTCCCACACCTCGGCCACGGCGAGGCTCGGGGACGTGCCATCGATGTAGACCTTGGCCATCTCCGGCGAGTAGCCCCTGGCGAAGTCGAGGCGCCACGCGTCGAAGCCGAGGTCGCTCTTGAGCCAGAGGAGCCACTCCTTGAGCTCCCGCTGGACTCGGTCGTTGAGATGGTCGATGTCGGGCGCGGCGGCGAAGTCAGCGCCGGTGTCGAGGTTGGCTGTGCCGTCGGAGTAGGTGGTGTCGTCGCGGCAGATCATGTGGGGGCCCCAGTCGAGGCGGCCGTCGGAGGTGCCGCCCTCGAAGATGCAGTAGATGCCGCGGCTGTCCTTGTAGTCGGCGCAGCGGTGGTTGATGACGATGTCGGCGATCGCCTGCACGCCCTTGCCGTGGAGCGCGGCGATGAGCGACTTGAGCTCCGCCGCGTTGCCGTACTTGGATGCGTCGATGTCGTACAGCCGACCAGGCATGTAACCTGCACCAAGTCGATCGGTTTACTGTCTCGTCACTAGTATAAATATCTTTTGCAATCGCATTCAAACTTAGCATGTTGTCCACGCCACGCCTCTATGATTCCTTCCCTTTCTTTTTGGTTGCCTCTAGATGTTGAGACACGATTTAGTGGGAAGAGGGAGGGAGAGACCGGAGGAGGAGGACCTTGGGTGGAGACGGAGTGCGAGGGAGGCGGCAGCCAGACGTGCGTGACTCCGGCGGCGGCGATGTCGTCGACCTTGCCCATCATCATGTTGTACCACCCGCCGCTCTGCTTCCACGACTCCCAGTTGAACCCCTGCAACAAGATTATGCCATGAACAAACATCCATTAAGCTCCCACAGTTAATTAAGCTCCTTAAATACATGAATCAAAAGGGAACCATGAGCATGCGTACCTGAAAGAGGACTTGATGGCCGGACGCCAACCCGGCGAGAAGCAGCAGCAGCAGCAGAGAGAAGCAGCACAGGTGGTTGCCGTTATTCCCCATCGCGTACGCTACGCTAGTGTCGATCTCACAGCACAGGTCACTCTTCTTCTCCGGTTGACTGAGTGATTGGCTGACTGGCTGATCGACTGATGGCTAACAAGTGTACCGCGGCTTCGTATTTATAGGCAGTCGATGCCATGCTCAAAGTATTTAACGCGAGCTATACGTACGTAGCCGTGGAGTGTTGCTTGGAGGCACTGCATGGATACCAGACTCCGTTACGAGAAAAGGTGCAGCCGATGACGGTCAAGTCAATCCGGGCTGGCACAAATTCCATGCGAAAAGATAGCACCATCCAAGTTGGGATCGAAACCCAGCGTTGCCCTTACCTTTTAGGATAACTGATTTTCCAACGGGAAATATAAGCATGGGCGCGAAGAAAGATGGGGAGGAAATTAATTGAACATAGTGCAAAAAAATTCATGTTTCCACGGCAGGAAACTCGGTGCAAAATGTATCTGTACGACTGCACACCGCCTGCCGTCCAATGGACTTGCTTGCAGAACAGATCTGAGACTGATACTGTTGTTAATGTGGTACAGCAACATAAATATCGCATCAGAGGACACTCCTATTTGGGCTGAGGAGCCAACGGTGGAGAACGACGCCGTAGATGAATGATGTGCAGATATATCGAAGGTTTTTGGTGTGTGTACACGACGACGCATCGGAGGAAGCTAGCCGTGCCGTCAGTGTCGCGTGACTTGGATGGAGATGGAGGGCGAATGTGACAGAGACAGTACGAGCCGTAGCACAGCACACGATCGAGTAAGAATTGCTTAAGGCCGTACATTATCGTCAGCAAAACACGAGAGGTTGTTTACACCAACGTCCTGCTGTCGGATTATTACATGGACACCGCATCTGTCCGCGGAACAGCGGAAATCAGTCCGCGCACACTGATGCGGGAGCCGGCCATTCAATTACAGCCGCATACATTTCAAAGCGAATTTCAATAAATTAGGCAAATTACATGCAAATCGGGCGATTTTCATCTAAACCGGACGAAAATATTTACAATTCGAACATATTTCAACTAAACTATAGCGGACTATACTAGGCTATTCTAACCTAGTCTACCGCCGCCCGCGGCGGAGCCCCATTTCCATGACATATCTACCCCATGATCGACAGCAAGTTGCGGACCGCCATGAGACCTGGAGGGATATGCTTTGGGAAGGAGGAGAGTAAACTCCGCTTCGGTGAGGCATGAATCACAGTTAGTTTATGGGGCGGGAGAAGACGGTCACCGTGGACTACGCCCCGCAAAGCGGGCAAGTCACCGCCCATGTAGGCTAGCAAGACTGTGGTGGTGGCCTTCATGGGACCAAAGCGGCGACGGCCTCCCATGGTCTACTATTTCTCGCTATCGGCAGCGGCGGCAGGCGTGGTCGGCGTGGAGTTGGCAACGTCGTCTTCGGTGCCTCCGTCAAATTCCTTCGCCGCCACATCAACCTCCGTGAACATGGCTTCTTTCTCCGCCTGCCGGACGCGTTGTTGCCATCGCTCACGACGGATTTGCCGGAAGATGGCGTTGGCCAACCTGGACAGGCGAGGACGTCCTGGCAATGGTGGTGACGGTGGCGCCGGCTCCGGAGAGCTTGCTGGCAAGCCAGCCTGCATCCGGCTGGCTCGCTAGGCCACCTAGCCGGCTGCAACGCTAGAGAGCTTCTTCTTCTACTTGTTGGAGAGGCCATCCCACTGGGCTTTGCAGCCGGATGGCATGGCGGAGCCCGGCGACTGACCACGTTTAAATAGCGGCCGGATGTGAGGCGCCAACCCGAGAGGTGTTTAATATCGGCCACCACAGAGACGAATGTGTACGCTCGAGGCACCGGAGTAGGTTCCTCAACACACGCGCTGGTTTAATGGAGGTAGGCGGACAGATGAATGCCGGTTTAATGTGAAGAGAAGGCATGTGCAATGGGCGTGCGGTGGGCTGGCGTGCCGCTTCAATGCCGGCTCAAGCGAGTGATCGCGTCCACTCTAGGCCGGCATGAATGCGGTGCTGGCTCTGGTGGGAAATGGCGCGGGCGAGGGAGAGGATTTTAGGGTGGACCAGGGTTGTCGAACGCATGCATGGCAGCGGTCCGGACTCCCACAAAGGGCCCCAGCCCCCACCCCTGGTTTGCTTTTGGATTGCAAAAAGAAGAGGAACGTTCGAAACGCTTCACGGACGGATACAGACCCTCGTTGAATGGCAAAATACGTTCGAACCATACTGTCCGGATGAAAGGTGAAGATGTCCTAAGTACTGCAAGTATTTTTCATCCTGACAGGTGATTAGTTGCCTGCATGTTCTTGAGTTAATGCAGTCTATAGACATGCCTCCAGAGATACCAAGACGGCAAAGGCAGTGGCCAAGTGGAGCTCGAAATCTACATGCATATATTGCCGGTATTTGCAGTTGTAAGATCAACCTTGGCGACTGAACAGAGGTGCCAAAAGTATGTTGGCCCGATAAACATTGATGGTGTGGATAGGAAAGTGAAGCATGGGGTTTGGATAAGGCTACACCCACGGAGTATAGAGTATGTTTCGTGTCTAGAAGCCACAGTACCAAAAAAATGTTAAGAAATCTGATGTCAGTGTTTTAAGCATGACAAAATGA